GCACACTCTGATTGGTCAGTTAAGCATCTACCATTTGCTCTCTGGTGCACGCCGAAAAACTGAACTGCTGCAGTAAAATTGCGCCAAATTCAGCAAATCTCCTCTCCTGTGCAGTTCAAAATTCACCAATGAAATGTACAAACGAAAAAGTGATAGTTGTTGTCTTTCATCGGTGATGGAAAGTCATGTCAGTCGTTTTCACAAGTACTCCCAGGAAGACGTTGGAAGTGCTGGGAGGCGAGTCTTTATCGGGTGAGGTACTTAGACCTAGAGAATGTAAGAGGTCGCCCAAAGCCTAGAAAGCGGCCGCTGATTGATCACGAGTCTCTGCACCTCCAAAATCATCAATGTAATTTTTACACATGTATCTGAGATACTTATAAATGAAAGTGAGGACAGAAGTGGTGTTCTGTCACATCTTAGCTGAAGATTGCAAAACGAAGGGTGGGGCAATGTCAAATAAAAGGTTGTCACAATGCTTGTAGCCAAAGAGATAATAGTCACAATGGTTAATACGCAGTTAGTGATAAGCTCGGCTCAGATCTTTCTTGAACACATGACTAGTGGGACCTCTGTGATGGACAATATCCAACAATCCGGAAGACAATCCTGATCAATGATCTCTCATTCTTTATACCCTTTCTCAAGCCCCGCATCAATCTGGCAAATTAGACTAACAAACAAAAGTCTATCCCTTTGCTCCTCTCCCCCAATTACACTAAGAATCTTAAAATCCCTCTGGAAATCTTTTTAACATCAGAAAGTGAAACAACTTTACCTTCTGGTTGATTTGGCACTGTGGCAGCCGTTCAATCAAAGCCTCTTCCATCTTCTTCTCGTACAACTTAAGTGCTCCTTGAATTGTTGACTTAGCGCTTCATATTCTGTTTTCACTTTCGCTGCCTCCTTGCTTCTATCCGCACTACTACCCGTTCCCTAAAGTGGTGGTGGTATTTCTGACAAAAAATTCAACATTCCTTCAAAACATTCGACCTTGCCGTTGCTTTCCTGAAGCTCTTTTTCAACGTAAGTGTGAATAGTCCCTGACATGGCAAGCTTCGTTTTTCCTTTAAACTCCTTGGATTCCAAACTCACATGTTCCGCTAACTGCTCCATTTCTGTGAATGGGAGCTTACAAATTCGTCTCTCGACTCTTTGAAGCGTTTGTCAACCTCTGATTTCGTCATGTTGCTTGAAAATTTGCTTTGCGCAGAAACACAGAACAAAATGCTTCAGTTGACACCATGTTTCATGAGACAATAGCAATGTCTTGATGCTTCGATGACGTCTGTTTTCCTCTGTGAGCTTCTACACCAACAAACCATCCTGGGAGGGTCGCCAAAATGTTGCCAGGCTCAAAACAAGCACACAAGATCAAACAAAGTTTTATTCTATCTTGCACGATCATGGATCGATCGATTGCAATCGCTACTCACGAGTCATTCCATCGTGTGATCTTTACGATCTCATACAGGGTAAGGACAAAGGGCATGTTAGTAAATATTAGGACTGAAAGGGTCAATGGGCCAGTTTTGCTTTCGCGAGCTGTGATCTTGGAAGAACAAAAAAACGTGAGGCCAAAACTCAATTCTTGTCCAAGTCTCCCAAAACAACAGATGCAAGCACCTCCCTTGCCGAACCCAAGTCAGCCGTACCACATCCTAGCCCTTGCTTCCCATGGAGTCTCCAGCCCCCAGAGTGCAGGTAGCCCACAGCGATATTGACATCGTCTTTCCTGTCGTGGATAAAGGTTCTACCTTTTGACAGTCAGCAGTGCCGAAAAAAGACGGAAAAGGAAAAGCTTATTTATAACAGAGGAACAAAAATTTGATCAACTGATTTAACTTGTGTTAAAACAGGTCCCTATGATCTGTGGAAACGTTTATGTACCTGCTGAATGTGTGGCTAGTTGTGCTGATGGAGCAGGAATTGATGACTGGGCATATTTATCTGCTTTTCATAAAAAATGAACGAAAAAATGTGTTTCTTGAGTAATAGGTTGGCTTTAGACATAACACCAGACTTGTCTTGACATACAGTCCCTACAAGTGGCTCATAAAGGAACATGATATTGTTTAAATACCTGCTGATTGCGAAGCTGACTGTGCCAATTGAGTTGAATCTGATGACTGGGCATTTTTTTTCTGCATTTCATAAAAAAAGAAAGTGGAAATGTTATTTTCAGTAAGAGTGCAAACATGTTTTACATACAGTTCTCATATATGGTCAATGTGATATCATTTAAATATCTGCTGATTGTGAAGCGGATTGTGTCAATGGAGCAGACATTGATGACCAGTTGTTTTTATCTGCATTTCAGAAGAAAAAAGGGAGAGGAATCTGTTCTTTTATTTATTAAAGTGCATTGGTTTGACGCATTGCATTAAACATGTCTTGACATCTATTCCCTACAAATGGCTGAAAAAAAGACACGTGATATGCTTTAAATACCTGCTGACTGCGAAGCTGACTGTGCCAATGAAATTGAATTTGACCACTGGGCATTTTTTTTGCATTCCATGAAACAAATTTGTTTCTTTGGTAAGAGTGCATTGGCTTGACTCGATATGGTTCATGTGATATTGTTTAAATACCTGCTGATTGTGAAGCTGATTGTGTCAAGGAAAAAAGTGCATTGTTTTGACATGTCACACCATATTTGTCTGGTTAAGCAGTTCCTGTATACCATTTAAAAAGTCACCCCTGTTGCTTGCTTGTTGCTTTCCACTGCACCTCGAGCAACTCTTGTGCCTCTTTTGTGCTCTCCAAACTTTTTGCGCGCTCAATATCTCGACATATGCACACTGAGGCGTGAATTAATTGTTAACCATAGGCATTTGAGCTTTGTCCACTAAGTTTCTGATCTTTGCTCTCAACTTGCTGTTTTTGTCCTCCAGATTCCTGAGTCTTCCTTGGCAATGAACGTAAGTCTATAGTGTTTTACAGTATCAAAATCATTGGAGATGACAAGAACAGGATCTTGACATAGTAACCGTGATTATGTTGCTCAGTCTGTGAACTGTAGGGTTGTTAGCTGTAACTGCCTGCCATTGGTTGGTGCAAGTGGTTGTCTTTCTGTAATCTTTACTGAGGGTTGTTGGCTGTTGGTACGTGCCAAATGGAGCCACTGGTGGTCAGTACCTAATTGTACTGGTCCATAAACAGTTTGTACCATGAGCAAAATTGAACTACAACATATTCGTCAAGAAACTCGCACATGTGATTGGTGTTGGTTGTCTTAACGATGACTGATAATGACTCGCGTAATTAGGTGATAATGTGAACCGTGAAATCTGACCAATGAGAGGGTATACAAGCTCCATCGCCCTTTCCCTCGCCAGTTCCGTACCATTTGATTCAGTGTTTGTGCTTTCTCAATTTTGCAGACCCGACTAACCTGGACAGGCTAAGAATTAAGGGATTTCACTATAGTCAACAGGTTACGCTTTTGTGCTCATCAAACAACTTCAACATCTCATAATCATTATTAGTGTAATTGTTTTTACTGCTACAACATCATTACATCTAATGTGGGATGATTTTTCATTCAAAACGTTAATAGAGTATGGTTTGAGTTGCTAATAGTTACCTTAAAATCCCTCTTAAACATGGACCCTGCATTTAAAAGGACCTTTGCCCTGGGCGAGCCGCCACTCATTTGAATCAAGACACTGAACTGTCAACATCAAATAACGCGAGACCACAGCTTTTCAAGTAGCGAGAAACACTGTTGGCCGTAGCCCTGCTCAGGCTGGAAATAAGATTAGAAAGATTAACTAAATCATTTAATTTCTCTTATTAAAGTCTGTAAATAGCAAAGATGATCGGCTTTAGTCACTGGTCTTCGCCCAAACGACTTCGGGTGAGTGGCTTTTTCATACATTTTTGTTGCATTGGTGTCTTATGTTTGTGTCTTTTTTCCCCCATCACCCGGCAAGCAAGCGCACAGAATCAACATAGCTTCTGTTTTAATTTGTCATTTCTACAGAATACTGTCGAGATAAAAGAAGAGGATAGAGAAAGTTTACTGGAAGTTCTTCGCGATGCTATGCCAGCTTTCGAAGTGGTTTCCACTAGGAAGGTGAACGGCCGGTCTCCAAATGGTTAGTGCGTTAAAAGATCGCTTCTAAAATTTTATTTTCTTTAAACACTACCACGTCATTCTAGTGCAATTAGTTTTTGGTGTTAACTTTTTCCTTCTATTTAAATATAATTTTACAGAGATCATTCTTTAAAAAACTAATAGAGTTGTTGTGTTGCAGAAATGTATCATAAGAGTATTAATCACTAAGTCGTGTTTCGATACCCCCAGTGCTCCATTATTCTATGAGTTTAATTTTCTTAGTATAATTAATTTTGATATGCTACAGATCGGCTTGTTCATGTTCTCCTTCAAAAATAAGTTACTTCCAGTAGGCTTCCACGATATGCTCCTGTCTAGTTCTCAACTTTATTCTTATAATACAAGAAATGCCATGAATTACAGATCTCAGTTTTCTAGAACCAATTTCAGAAGATTTACCGTAGCATATCAGGGCCCAAAGTTTTAGAATACCCTGCTGAACTCAAAGACGAATCTTCAAAAAATGTCTTTAAAAAGAACTTACATACGTTTTTAGCTCAACAAGCTAATCTGTCCTAATTATTTCCATATTGTTGATGAATAATTTCTTCTATAGCCATTTTTTTCTTTCTTTTGCTGCTTAGTTTGTGGACTATTAACTAGAATATTATATATATATTTTTTTCTTATAACTATTAATTTCAATCAAATCATTAGATACCCTAAATTAAGTTAACCCTGCCCTACTCTAATGGAGAAAGTCCATAGAGACTAAAAAGACATGAGAATTGCCTATTAATTCCCTGTAAATGATATAAAAATTAACCTACTATCTAATTCAACTGCAATATGTTACATCTGCCACGTACTTCTAATTAACAATAGGAAGAAATTACAATTAGAGCCTGGCCAACAAGAACCATGGTAGGGCTTATTATTACAAATTCTTATAAAAGTATGTCCAGATCTCATCTTTAAAGCGGAAGGTCTTTTCCACCAGCACCCTGTGTGGTGCAATTCGGTCTGGTTGGCGACTTGTTTGGTAATATTGAAGAGATGTTTCTCTCAGCACATTCTCATTCTATATGAATAAACAAGAACTACTACATATTACTGTATTTCATTCTCTGCAATAATTTCCGGGGCACACAGAAGCATACACACATACTAATAAAAAACAGTCAAATTATTTAATATAAATATTGTATTTATAAACTGTACCCAGTCAAGAATAGCCAGCTGAATTCTCATTTTATATGAGTTTGCTCGTCTAAAGTGGATTCTCTTTGGTGCATAAATGAGCATCACCAAGTGCAATGTCTCAATCCAAAGTGTATCACGACACTGGAAGGATAGATAGAAGTAACATATTAGACTCCTTAAAAAAGTTCGAATCTATTATTTCTAATTACCATGGACATAAATACCACTATTGTGATAATACGAGAGCATAATGTTCAGCATTTTTGTAGACCGTGGTCCTCTCCACTACTTTCCTGTATGCAGTAATTGCCCTTTCGTTTGTTAGGGGCTTCTTGCTGCATTCATAACCTTCTTCCTGAATCTTTATTACAATTAAAGTGATCACCCTATTTGAATACAAAAAAAATATCGCAAACAGTTTACCTTCTTTTTTCTTCTATGACTATGTGAAATGCTTCAAGCACATTTTTTTATTCCCTGCTAGCAGAGGTCTCTCACGACGAGGCAAAAATGAGAGAAAGGAGAGAGACCTCTGCCGGCTTCCGACGCGTTGTTTGATGAAGCCGCCGACCAGATTTCTGGTCGAAACTTACCGGTTTTTAAAACCGGTTCCGTTTAAGGTGTAATGCGCGTGCCTTGTTAACCTGTACGCTGACAATTATTGAGCCCACAGTGCAATTATGGCTTCCACGACATCCACGAGTTTCGAAATTTCTCACTTTGATCAAGCCATAAAATCATCCGTTTCTAAGCTTGGCGACAAACGTATAAAAGAAATAACTTCCCTACAAAGAAAAGTCATACTTGGTTTCCTTAAAGGATGCGATACGTTTGCGTGTCTCCCGACGGGCTACGGAAAATCTTTAATTTACCAACTAGCAGTACGAGTGGCTGCCGAGTTATCTGTTGTTAACAATTACAAGGATCTCTTCTCTACAGAACCAGTGGTTTTAGTTGTCTCTCCTTTGAATGCCCTTATCAAGGACCAGTTATCGTCTTGTGAGAAACTAGGGATCAATGCTACCAAAATAGAAGGCACGGAGTTGCCATCCTTAGAAGGCACTGAAATTGTCTACATTAGCCCGGAAACTTTAATTGGAAACACGCAGATTCTTCTAAAACTTGGAGAGCGCCTGCTTGGGATAGTTGTTGACGAGTCTCACTGCGTGAATAACTGGTAAGAATAGTAATGAAAAAATCTTAAATCCCCAACTACTGATATATTGAAGTCAACTTACAAGCCAATGATGCACTGAACCATTAACTGTCATCAAGTCATTCAAAATGCCCTTTCCCTGCTAGCAGAGGTCTCTCACGACGAGACCTCTGCTAGCAGGGAAAATGCCCTCAACTAAAATACTTAATTCTGAGTTGAAAGGTGCTATTTGAAAGCTATCATCATTGCTTTACGTATTTGAAATGTAATCACTCTTAATTATAAAAGACAAAGACAACTTCTAGGTGATGACCTAAGGTATCCAACCAAGTCTTTCTTATTTCCCAGATATTAATGCATTTGCTCTTATGTTGATAAAAAGGTGCATTACACTGTATGTTGTTTTGCCATTTATGTTATCACCAGTGCTAAGCACCCATAATTGACTTTTCATAACGTTTGTCTATTTTTTTTGATAGGGGCTTTGGATCTTCTCCTGAGAAAGCACCCTTTCGAGATGCCTACAGCAAAATAGGCAATGTGGGGGGTTTCACAAGAGCTCCTTTACTGTGCTTAACTGCAACAGCAGCAAAGAAAACAAGAAAGCAAATTATCAAGACTTTGTACATGAAAAATGTACTTTTCATTAGTAAGCCACCTGATAAAAACTATATAAAAATGTCAGTGCATAAACTTTCTCAAGAAGAGGAGTTGGAAACAACATTTTCCTGGCTGACAGAAGAACTCGAGACCAAAAAAAATAGAACGAGCAAAACAATAATCTACTGTCGGTCAATAAATGCTTGTGGGGAATTATATTCCATGATGGATAGTGTTCTTGATGGAGATGCCATCTCCAACATCGCCATGTTTCACAGTAAGACACCCGAGGCTTTGAAAACAAAGGTCTTAGATAATTTTATTCCCATGGATGGCCCAGTGAGGGTAGTGGTTTCTACCACAGCCCTAGGAATGGGGGTAAATATCCCAAATGTGGAAAGGGTATGCCATTTTGGCATCCCTGATACCGTGGAAGAATATGTTCAGGAAATTGGGTGGGCAGGACGGGATGGGAGGAAAAGCCACAGTATATGGTATTTTAAGTCCTACCATTTGGCACATTGCGATGATAGCATGAAAGCATTCATCAGAAATCCAGAAACCAAGTGCAGACGTGAGATGGTGGCGATGCACTTTAAAACAAAGCATGCAAAAGTTTCCCCATTACATGACTGTTGTGACGTGTGTACTGAAAAGTGTGATTGTTCCCTGTCATCTTGCAAAGAAGGTCCTCACATGGCCCAACCTGCTATAGCTGAATACAATGCTCCAATGAGAACTGTAGAGGATGATGAAAGGCAGCTTTTGCGTGAAATTTTGCATGAATTAAAAGACTCCACAAATGCCTCTGGCTCAATATTTGGGTCGAACAATTTATTGGCACAGATAGATGACAATTTAATAAAAGAACTGGTGAACAGCTGTGAGTACATCTTCACTACATCTTACCTGATGGAAAACTTTGCAATATTTAATAGTGACACTGCCCAACAGATTCTCACTGTGTTTGCGGATGTGTTTGGGGATATAGAAGAGGTAGAATTTGTAACAGCTATGGAATTGTCAAAGTTTGAGGAGGATGATCCTCTTTATCTTAATCACTGTTACTCTGAAGATGTGGAGGAAATCCTTTCAGAAGACGAGCTAAGTTATGATTTTGATTATTAACTTGAAGGTCATTTGACATTTATTGTAATAAGTCAGGATAAGCATCAATGTTCAGTCTGTTGAATGACTGTCACATGCTTGTGGAATCAACAACTTCCATCATTTGTAGCCTTGATGCACGGCTCGAAAAAAAAAGTCTGTCATGTAGTCCCAGACATTTTGCTTTTTTCTTCCTGTGCAAGTAACATTCAAGGGCCCAGGCCAGTCAATCTCAAACAAAACCATTAACAATCATGAGTAAGAAGTGGTACCGGCGAGCAAAATACAAAAGCTGCTTGCCCATATGACAAGCTGGAATTCAATTTTTTTTCGAGCCCTGCTTTATCCCTAGGTAGAGTATAACTTGTTTTTTGCAAGGGCGTTTAAAGAAGCGACCATTAAAAACAGGATGATCAACATAAATATTGTCTCCTAACAATATCAATATAATGACAAGAACCGTTTATGAGAAATTTTAAAGTGGTCATCAATATAAAAATACTTAGATCCTCAATTAAATTCAATAAAGAAGAAATATATATCCCTTTAGGGGAAAAAAATTACATGCTATATTTTTGCATATCAACTTCTGCTCATTCTGAAAAAAATTTAGATGGAATCCACCAGGAAATACTGAGTAATTTTAATTTTTACTGGACAAAACCTTTGTACCAGAATGATTTAAAGCACATTGTATTCTTTTTAACATTTTTCATTTTTTTGGAGTCTGAGAAAATGAATGTCAAAGTTCACAAATTACATCTTACACGAAATTTTCAGACTTTTTCCTGTGTTTTCACAATTCTTGTGAAATTTGACATTCACTTTCTTTGGTGTTATTACAGATGACTATTTACATCTTTATCCCTTGCAAAATGTAAAAAAGAATGCAGTATTCTTGAGATTATTCTGGTACAGGGTATCCTCAGAGAATTAAAGTTTCTCAATTTCCTGGTGGATTCCGTCTTAACAATCTTGGGTAAATCAAAAATGAAACAGCCACCTCTTTCAAAGTAGAATAGTAACTGTTGGTCAATTTTCACAAAAAGAATTACACTGGCAAGACATCAGTTTAGTGTCAACTCTTGGGGGTTGGAGGTGGATGGTTTTGAACAATATTTCATTTTCCAGAGCCAAAAGAAAGAAGAAAAAGATCTATATCCTTTGAGGGAAAACAGTTCCATAATACTTTTTTGAATATCAATTCCTTTTCATTTGGAAAAAAATAATTTTACAAAAATGAAAACACCCACCTCCTTCAAAAGTTGAATGGTTGGCCAAGTTTCGCAAAACACAGGCAAACCATCAGTTGAGTTTCAACTATTCATCGCCTGGGGGTTGGAAGTGGAAGGTTTTAAAAATAACTTTTCCCTTTTCAGAGCCATAATAAAGATAAAATATATGGATATCCTTTGAGGGAAAATAATTGAATACTACTTTTTGGTATATCAATTTCTGTCCACTCTGAAAAAATTACAAATTTGGAAAAAGAAAACACCCACCTCTTTCAAAAGTATAATGGTTTGTCAATAAATTATGGTTGTAAATAATTAACATGCGCATCTAATAAACAGCCTGTTTAGGGACATATCATTAGAAAAGTTATTAGGGTGGACAATGTTCAAGCCACATGAATATTTTAGTTTACAATTCCCTCGTAAGATTCTTTTAAGGCCAGTGCAGGAATATTCTCTGGCCCTTACTGAGAAACAGAGAGTTGTTTTGGACACATTTGATTAACTTTTGTATTGATGCCGATTCTGCCTGTGCCAAGACTTTTTGTGTTTGCTGATCCACCTGTGCAGTTTCTTTTTATCCAGGGAGCTGTAAATACTTCGGGTCACTTTCGGGAATGATTCAATCTTGCGACCAGGTACAAAATCAAACATCTTAGCTTTTGTATGTAACTGGTTCAATACTGATGTAAAAACAGCTTGTCGGGTCTTGTTGGTATGATGTGTTGACCGCTTTGTTATTCCAAGGTCTTGGCTGGACGTGACAAGCAGTTTTTCTAAAGAACCAGTAGACTGTGTGGTTGACTGTATACTATCGGGTGTTACATTTGGGGCTCCTATCCCGCAGATAGCTTGCTTGGATACCTGGTTTATTTGCTCCAGTCTCAGGTCTCGCGAAATGCACTTGCCTACCCCTCCCTGCTTGTTTGCAAATCTGTTCCATGTCAGCCTATGAGCTTGACGAGGTGTCAACAGTGCTAGCCTTGATGCCATCAAACGCAGCCCCGCCAAAGCATATTTGTGTTTTCCATGAATTCGGAATACGAAGGTCAAGAATTTCCAAACTCTCATCAGTCTTTCTCCATCACCCTCTTTTACCGAGTCATCTGCATTGTGGAGAAGAAGACCTAGACTTAAGTGTAGACACCCATAATTAAATACATTGTCCTCCTTTGACTCTGACAACTCTGACTTCTTGTTCTCCTCACTTGTCTCATCTTGCTTTTCCTCTGTTACTTCTAAATCATGGATCTTTTTCTCATAGTTGACACGGCATTTTGCATACACAAAGGTTCGTGTGCAACCAGAAAATCGGCAGGGAAGCATGGGTCTGATTCCGACATGCCCCATCTCATCTCTAGCTCTTTCAATATCTGACACCCCATCCATGACATACTCATCAAGCATGCTGCTGACGTGTCCATGGAGCCACTTGCGCTTCTCTTCATTTGAAGACTTTTGTAAGTTCCTAGGGATTTTGTTTTTTGTTGGCGAACTATCAATTGTGTCCATACTGAAATATCTCATGGTCGCTGCAACAATCATGGCCTCATTTTCAAGTTTAAAAAACTCTTTTACAGCATCATAGTTGTCCAGTGTGTCCCTCAGAGCATTAGTGTTTCCAGATACCACTGCATTAGAGGCAAATGTACCCCAATCCGCTACAGAGGAGGACTTGCGTAAAATGTCTGTAGCAGCCTAAAGATAGGAAAAAATAATTCATAATTTAAAAGCCACAAATTTGTTTGACATTGGTTTTCAGGAAAATGAGAAAAATCCATTTTCACAACCAAATTAATAAGTTCTTGCCATCTTACACACCAGCCTAATTAAAATCAAAAATCTGTTTACAGTAGTTAAGTGTTGATCATATATGGTCACTTTTTACAATATTACAATTGTGTTGTTGACATTCAATACCCTTGACTTTGGGTTTTGTTCTCTTTTGTTTATTTTATATTTAAAATCTTTGCCTGACTGAGATTAGAAACTTATAAGACAATGAATAAACAGTCTTCTCTCAATATATGTAAATCAGAAATTAAAGGAGTTTGAAGCAAGTTACCAAAAATATGGGATGGGATGGGGTTGAAACTATGGAAAAACAGAAAGGAAACAAAAATTACTTCAAGTTAGCAGGAGCAACAATTCGATTTGTTGTGAGAGCGACTGTTTATTTTTAAGATATTGCATCCTATTGCATATGCCACCTCTTTCTTGGCATGGATTACTGAACAAGTATACGTATTTATAAGTTACCTGATAGGCAATTCTAATTCCATGCCAGTCCTCGTTTTTTGGCCACAGTCCCTCTAGTCTCTCTTGAATTGTATCTCCATCCATCCTGGCCTTTTGTATGTTCCTTGCCCGCTCTTCCGTAAGTTGGTCACCACCAAAAAACGCTATATCAGCTGGTACACGCTCCCCTCCATTCTCCACCATTGGTACATATTTCTCCTGTAGTGTTTCCAATATGTCCACCATATCCTCATTGAGGGTCTCATTCTTTGGGAGACATCCCAGTGGAACCTAAAGAAGATAAATTAGAAATTTAAAATTTTATCGGTGATTTGATTGTAGCAAAGAACTGTGTATAAATGGTAGTTAACAATTTTTGGATAGGCTTGCAATGGGCAAAAATTTGAAACTGTAATACATTTTCTTTAAAGAATGGGCTTAATTAAGGCAAACAACAGCAACATTCAAAGCTTTGATTAATAGGAGCTCAGTTTTGGTTTCGCATCTGGTAATCAAAAGCATGTTTGCATAATATTTAAACCTGCTACAAAAAGCTCTCATAACTGCCTAGGGAAACACTTGTAAATAGACTTCTACACAGTAATAAGGGTTTACCTAAATACGTAGCAGCCTGTAAAGATGCCCACTTTGGGCTACTCATTTTTCAATTAAATGGAAGCTAAAATTGAACAGAGGTTCCTTGGATCAATAATTATTATTTCCTTTAAGGTTACCTCCTCAGTAACAGCCTGCATTTCCTTGCTGTACTGATGTTGGATGTGCTGTATCACCACACCCTTTAAGAAACTGAATGCTGGAATGTTTTTCACCATTACTCTAGCCCACAGTACAATGAAATCCTTCTTAAGGTTCTCCACATCATTATGGCATGGCAAAAACTCTGAGATTTCAACATCATTAAGTGTTCTAATATGCTTGTTGGGAAGGTTGCCTCCCGAGACAACATCTCGCATTGCCACTAGGTTGAAAGTATGCAGGGATTTGTTTTTGTTTTGTTCACTCATGTGTCTCACATTAATGTGCAAATCTACATTGTCTCCAATTATCTGATATCCCTTTGGCTGATCTTGATGAAGAACTGAATCAATTGCAGATTTCAAGTCTTTCTTGCCCTGGTTAGCTGCAGCTTCAGAAACAGCTTTAATGGTCTCTTGAAGTGTATTGTCACTTATGCCTCCAGTTTAAATGTTGTTGTAAACACTTGTCACAGTGTCTCCTGGTTGATAGCTGAAGCACAAGTTGAGTACAGATGTATCTACTGTGGTGATATCCTGAACTGTTGCATCATGCACATGACCTTTACTTGTAGATTCTTTGGCCTCATTACTAGATGTACCAAGAACATGCTCCACAAAGTTTTCAAGAGATGGCTGCGAAGGAAGATAATTCAGACCTTGCAATTCTTCTTTAAGGTTTTCTGCACAGAGCCTCACTTCAGCTGCTTGAGAAATCGATTTGGTCCACTCCAAGAGTTGAGAATCATGATTTTTTCCCAATTCCTTGCTTTTTGAGGCGATAGTATCTGGATGTAGAGTAATTCCATGCTTTGACAGCAGCTCAAGACCCTAGAAGTTAAAATATGTATGACTTTATTTTTAACCATGAAAAATAACTACACAAATTTATCTCACACTGAAAGGGCAAAAAATGAAATTGTGAAAACAGTAGGTAATGGTATTGAATCACTAGGTGATGGTGTTCTTTGACTTGATTTGGCACATGTAAAACCTAACAATTAGTGAACAGTAGTTTGAAATACAGAAAAGTAAATTGTGAGTTAAACAAGGAATGTTCTTTATCATATAAATCGAAATTATTTAGTCAATGAAATACGATCAAATGTCTTTTGTCATTCTGGAAAATATCCATATGTAGAATCTATCACATAATTATCACTTACAACTCTTCCAGCTCCAGAATACCTCACGAGGAGGCCTATTCGGTATGCCATTGCCGACAAAGCAGAACACCTTGAATGAAGGATCATACTATCAATAGTGGGAATAACTGGAGGGATAAGCTTGTGCTGACTGTCATCGGCTGCATTCTCCTCGGATCTATCTCTCAGTTTCTTTCTCTCTGAAGAGCACATAACTTCCAGCAAGTGAAAGGTTTCAGGTGCTTTCTCTGCTAGCTCTTGTTGAAATGTTTCGAGTCTAAAAGCTGTAAGGTCAGTGGGGCTGGAGTTTCTCAGCACACTTGAGGAGACAAGATTTTTCATCTCATTGTTCAAGTTAGCAAGGAAGGCCTGCTTGATTACTAGATTTGCTTCAGGGATGTTAACAAGTGATTTGTAGGCCTGTTCATTTCGCTCAAGCACGAAGTATTTCACTAACGTTGCTATGTGGGGGTTATTGATCAGTCGTTCCTTGTTTCCACTGGGATAACAGATGGTTACCTAAAAACGAATTAAAACAATGAATATTACCCACTTAAATGATTCTCTGTCAGTTGTAATATGTACAATTTCGGAAAAATTAGTCTTACAATGTCTTTGTCAAGCAAGCGAATTTATAAAGTTGTCTCTTATAAGTCACCGAGTTATTTTCTGATGTTTATATCATAACACTTCGACAGAGTTATTACGTGAGCCTAAAAAAAGAGCTCTTCCCGCCATATATTAAATAAAATGTATCATAAAAAAGGGGATAAAAATTCAGAACTTTCTACCTAAGACAAGTCTTGTTATGAAATGAATAGATAGTTTTTGTGCCTATCCTGGTAATATCCAATTCGATATGGAACGCACGGTCACCTTTAGTAAGTGCTCCGTGGGTAAACAAAACAACTACAATGTATCCCAGAATGAGGAGGAGATTGTGAGCTAGCTAAAGCAAAATGTCACGTTTCAGAAATTGAGAAAGCTTACCTTCACTTTAACATTTTCAGCTTCACGGTTCGATTCAACTGGGACAGATTCAGCAACACTAATGCCGTGCAAAATCGAAATGTTTACATGCTGAGTAACTTCACTTGCGCCGCCATGTTCCGGAAATTGCCCCTGGAAATCTTCTTCATCAAATTGCAACGGTGCAAAGCCACAGTCATCTTGCCATTCCTCACCATAATTCGGGAATTGTCTATCTCGATCTTCTGCATCATACTGCAGTGGTACACAGCCAAAGTCATCTCTCCATTCCTCGTTAACTGGAGTGTCAAAACAACGCCTCTTTCCTCTTTTCTCGCTCGTGCCGGGGCTTTGTTTAGCAAGCCGCTTAAAGCGATCACCATTTACGCCAAAACAAGCCTTGTTACTTTCCTTTGTTTTCTCATAGTGTTCAACTATTTCCCGTTTACTGTCTTCAATATCCTTGCTTTGTTTATATATGGCTTCAATACGTTGAAAGCATTTTTTACACAGGCGAGTCGATTCTCGATCAAAGTCAAGCGTCTTCTCCAACAGCCGACAAACTCTGTCTCTAAGCTCTTTGTTTTTGAGGGATCTCCAAGTGTTTTGCCCGCTTATTTTAAAATCTAAACCACACAAAAGGCATCTACTGTCTTTTCCAGACCCAACTGGTTTAACGGGTGTCCGAGGTGACGCGCTTTCCCCAAATTTGCGAGATTGTGGAGTTCTCGGCATCGTTTCACACCGCGAAGAATTCTCCACAACATACCCGCGCCTTCAGCTGAAGTTTCACGCGCAAACCGGTTCTGTGGGTTGTGTCGCACGTGAGTAAAACATCACTGGTTGTTAAGGAAACGCCAGCACATGCGTGATAGGAAACGCGTTGGAAGCCGGCAGAGGTCTCTCTCCTTTCTCTCATTTTTGCCTCGTCGTGAGAGACCTCTGCTAGCAGGGAAATTTTTTTACAACAAACCAAGGCTCTTGGCTTCAATGAAGATTACCTTGTAATTGGTTGATGATGTTAAGCATATAACTTTTCAGTTGATTTGCATCCCCATTGCAGTTCTTCATTGCATAATAAATATGTGTTTTGATGCACTTCACTGTATAAACGAAAGAAAAAAAATGAATTTTGGCAGTTGGTTGTATAAGTTCCCATCAATGCCGACTTTGATATTGATTATAATCACTACTTCACCTAAATCAGATAATTAAGAGAACCAAGTTTTCTCTGCATCCCTGACTAGGCCACTAGCTACTTTTTAAATGGCCTTATTAACACCTTTTCCACCTGCAAAGGAAAGATTTAGGAACAACCTGAGAACGTCAAACTAACTTGTATTAAATGAGCCATCATACAAACGAGCTAACATGAGCCATTATTTCATTTAGAAATGATGCATTCAGTACATACCATGCCAACCATCATAGGAATTTTTGATCCCCTTGTCATGCAACCAGTTCTTTAGTGCTGGGACATAGTCGTGTGCCACTTCACCAACTCGATGCCCTAATGATGATATGGCAAGTGAAAGTTACAAGGCAGAACATACTTTAATAATTATTAAATTGTAAGAGGAAAGCAGGAAGAAAGGTAACAGTCAATAAAGAACTCCTCCTCTAAAGCTGAATTATCCATTGATCCTGGTTCTCAGACTAAAATTTTACCTCAAGATAACCCCAACTTCAGGATTGAAATATACGAAGGGCATTAGCATAAAGCAAGTTGAGCAATTGTCTCTTCACATACTTTTTAGTAGGTAGGGATCGAGAGGGGAGGGGGTTATTGCGATGTGCAGCTTACCAAGAGCAGTTAGAGATTCCACCACTTCTTTGGTCATGGGGACCTCACGTGCTGCTGCAGATGATAAGTCTTCCTTTGACCAGCTAAGACTGTAAATTACTTTCTTTGTCCTGCGAGTAAAGAATAAAAGTATCCTGAACCTGTTGAATGGTTCGGAAACTCTACGTAAGACGATACAATGTCACAATATTATTACAGTTGTATTGTAACAAGTACATTTTTGCACTTCAAAACCAAAGGTACCATTAAAATTGCTTTCTAACTAGTTAAAGCATGTTCAAAACCTGTCTCCTTTAATTCTGACCTGTGAGATAAAGCTGACACAGTGGTGTGTTGAGCTGCTCTACTGGAGACATGCCTTAAGTCTGTTATAATGACCTGAATTTGGATCAAACATAATCATTGAGAGAAATTGTCATAAAAATGAACCTGCACAGTCAAAACATTTTTAACAACCCGAGCCTAGATACTTAAAATCATGGACAATTTTCACCAAGAGACAAATATAGTACTAACATCCCCTTCAGTGGCATAGTTACAATCTTGTTGAGCTTCCTGCCGTGTTTCGCGCAACTTCTCTTCATAACAGCCCTCAACTGCATTTTTATATCCAAGAGAGGAGTAGACTGCCAGTAAAGAAATGAAATTCATTATGTAAAATAAATGTAAAATAAACATTTTTCAAAGCATTTATAGCAGTAGTACAAGAAGAACAGTCCCTTTTATTTGTAACAATAATTATCACATGTGAACAGGAAAATAAAAATTACTTCTATTTATCTTCAGTTCTTGTCATAGGGGTTACTGATTGTCTATTAGGTAGTTTCAAAGTTCCAACTTCCGACTTTGGAATCTGGAATACACCTCAAGGAATCCAGAATCTCACTCGCATTTGGAATCCAGAATGTGTTTCCAGAAAATATCCATACCCCACCACATAGGGAATTTCACTTAGGACCCCCCACCTCCTTGGCTTTTCCATATTTGTAAGGAAATAATGACCCCCGCACCCCTCTGGAATTTCCACAAGTGAAGGCAAGGAAAGAATGATGATGTTTGTGGTTACGTAATGGTTTTCATTTACCTTTATTGAGCGGTCTTGAATTAGAACACGGTAAACTACCACAGCAACATAAACTACAAAATATTGTGAATATTAGTAAACCTTTGCCAAGAACATTCTATCGTCCTGACTAACTGCCCCTGGGTCTCCAAGGATGTAATGTTGATGGAATTATAAATACCGTTTCAGCATGAATACGATCGCAAACTTGTCAAACTTTCAACCACAACAATAAGAGAAAACAAAAAAGAGAATACAGGGTTCGCACAGTCTTGAAAAGTCCTTGAATTTTCTTCAACTTTGAATATAGTAGCCTGGAGAGAGTTTTTTTGATGCGTTTTGGTTGTCCAAGACAGAATATAAATCGTAGCTCAGAGAATTTAATGGTTATTTACATAAAGTGCTATATGTTTTATGCAATAATTAACTATCAATCTACGACAAGTCAACTGAAAAATGTAGAGAAGCTGGTGAAACAAACAGTTCAAGCCGTAAAGTCTTGTTAGATTGGACTGCAAATGTGTATTTTTGTACAGTATGTGAATTATACTCCTAGTAGGTGTTCCTTGAAAATCTAATGTGGTCCTTGAAAAGTCCTGAAAAGTGGTTGCAATTTTTTGTATGAACCCTGGAATAAAAACTCTAGATTTTGAAATCGTTACATAGTATACCTTCTGCTTCTTGAAGCAGGTAAATTCATTGCAGGTTGGTGACGTAAGTAGAGGCCCAAATTAAATTGCAGTAGGTAATATATTGGTAAATAAGTGCATAATATAGTGTAAGATGAGATATTGAGGGTAAATAGTAGTTGCCTTTGTAAAGTAACCTGACAGATTTAGAAATCTTAGCTGCAATAAAATTAACACGAGTTTTTCACGTAAGGTGCTGTTTAATATAGACTCCGAGGAACTTAGTATTATCTACTTGTTCAAGTACATTGTTTTCTATAATAAACGACCTTGTGAAAGGTGATAGGTATTCCCAGAATCAACTGCTAGAAGGAGTTTGCTGACTTAGGCTAATTCCGCTGTTGATTCATGTAGCTGGTTAAACTGTTGATGGATTCTTATGTCGTGCCCCAGGCAGCGTGCTAGCCAATCCATGTTGACTTCTGTCAAAGCTGTAGTTTGTGTGATCGTTGCAATGTTCTTTCAAAGTTTCATGCTAGTCATTTCTTCTGGCTTCTTTATTTCTTTTAATTTTTTAACATTGGGTAAGACACAATCCCAGCCATGTAGATGTTCCACGGACCCTTTTGAAGCCCTTGCGAACTGGTACTTGTTGGACTTGGGAATTGATGGTGGCCTTTCTTTAAGTAGCAGCTTCACTGCTGCTATTGTCTCTGGTGTCCAAATAATTGGCATCGCTCTCCTTGCTTCCCAGTGATTTCCATGAGGTCGAGCCTGAAGATTTAATGTTAAAACAAGAACCAACACTTTATAGTATCACAGTGAATGATTGGTCTTGTGTGTTGCATGAAACAGTTTCGTGCACATTTCTAGTATATAAAAACTGTGAAAACAGCCAGTTTCATTGGATCTACCTTATTAGTTATGAAAAGTTAAGAAGTTTTGAAAATGAAATGGAGCTGATAGCACTTCAGTCGTGCAATTTAATGCCTTTTTTCATAGTTGTCTATTGGAATTGCGAAAATAAAACTCTGTGAAATGCTGTCTCACCAAAATCACGAAATTAAGTACCAACATACAGCTGACCTGCAATCCGGATAGATCAAGTCAGACACTTCAAAACTATACAGCAAACACCCGCATATAAGAACAAATGGATTAAGAACATCAGGCTGAAATTTGGCCCAGAAAGCATTATTTATATAAGAACTAATTTAGTCTGACAAATAAAATAGGTTCTTAAAGAATAAGGGAGAGAGTGTCGGAATAAGAAAGCAATGTAACTGTCCCTGGTTGAGTTAGCGTGACTGTAAGAAATATTATAGAAATGTTTAAGCTAATGTTACATTTCTACTCGTTGATGTTAACTAGTTTACTACCTGACAGATTTTTATTTTGTTGACTGACGTACAGATTTGTTTGTCTACTTGCTTACTTACAATAAAAGCAATAAAATATCCTAAACCTCTTGTAACATGTTATGTGTAGTATTTCTGAAATAAAGTTTAAGAACATTTTTAGAACATCTTCAGGCTGACTTCTCACTAAGCACCAGATAAATAAGAACTAGATCAGCCTGTACCTGAAACCATCTGTTTTTACTGTACTACAAACATTGCATACTCCTACTCTTAAATCAGTATACAATACTTAATATATGTTTATGTTTGAATAAACGAGTCGTCAGGTCTTTTTTCCTATTTCCATCCCTTCCGTAGCTCTAATCCAATTTTACTATCATCTAGCCGTTACCCCTCACAAAGTTGCTTTTCCAAGGCAGTCAATGATGACTTTAAGGCACTACTGAACTTTGCCCAGTTTGGTCGACATTGCTGTATATTTAGGGTCGCAGTCTCCCTGAAGCACCTTTTGTTGAATGTAATAATATTATTTAAGCCAGAGTAGTCTTGGCCAAACTGCTCCAATGAGTTCGCGATTCTTCCCCTTCCTCTAAAATGTGTGAAAGATCTGCCATCAAAGTCACCAGCTAGTGGCGAGATTTCCACTTTATTTTGGTTCTTTTACCCCATTGAGGCAAGGGACGGATAGAATTTATCTTGATGGTCCACTCTACCTCAAAAAGGTCAATAAAGTTCTGGCACTCTCTGGTGGCAGCCTCATCTTTTTCTGTAAAGCTGGTGTTTTGAGCTGACTTGCACACACTGCTTATGCTGTGCCCAAGCTTTAGGGCCAGTGAGAGGACAATACCGTGGTTGGCAGTAGAAGTTTAGCTTCTTACTGTACCTTTGACCATTGAGACCTATGGGGCAATTTTATCAGTGCCTGCTGAGCTCTGAAGGCATAAAAAATCCCATTCAAATCTTGCAAGGCAAAAAGTTAGCTGCAACCTGCTCTTCGTCTTTTGTTGGCATCCTTACCACCTCCGGGGCCAACATGTAATTGTGGTGGTAATCTCCTAAATGCAAAGCCTCTCAATGGTCAAATCTTGTTCCTCAGCAGTTTTCATGCCCATTGCTTTTACTACTTCTGTTTCATTTTTGTGCTTTCTTGCACAAATATTATTGTTACCGTTGATCCTAACTTATTGCATCAGTTGAATCAATTCACTTTTTAGCTTTATAATGCAGCAGTTTTCCACATTACAGATGTTCGGAGTGTTACAAGTTTCATCCCTGTTATAAAGACTTTCATATTTACCTCCAGCGGCCCCTGCAATGGTTCTGCTTCATGTGCTTCATTTGACAGCTCAGAAACAGGTGGGACTGCAAAGGCAACAGTCATGGTATAAGATTTGTTGTAATATATTATTAGGCCTTGGAATCAGACTTTTGAATGTTGAATTCCTGAGTCTGGGACACTTAGTACAACTTATGTCACGTTTATTGCTTAGTATGGCCTGATCTGACTTGCTGATTTTAAGTTATTGCATCAGTCGAAGAAGTACATTTTTTTATGTAGCTTCATAATACATCCGTTTTCCATATTGCACAAGTTCAGAGTGTTACAAGTTTTGTCCTAGTTATAAAGACTTTCATGTTTACCTCCCGTGGCCCCCGCAGTGGCTCCTGCTGTTGTCTGCTTCATTTGATGGCTCAGGAAGAGGTGGGACTGCCGCAACGCCAATGTCATTGTATTAAGGTTCGTTAATATACTTGAAGACCTTCAAATCAGACTTTTGACAATTCATGAGTCTGGGGCAGTTATTGTAATTGTTGTTACTCTCATTGCTTAGTATGGCCTGATCTGATTTGCTCCTCTTGGTTCAGAGTGTTACAAGTTTTGTCTAGTTATGAGGACTTTCACAATTGGATATTTGCCTCCCGCTGCCCCGGCAAGGGTTCCTGTTTTGTCTGCCTCATTTGACTTGCTAAGTGCAAAACACTTTTGTAATTATATTGCGGTTTGTTCTAATATAAAGGGATCAGCTAATCCATCTCTATGAGGGAATAAAAGCCTCAAGTCGTACAGCCTGAATTGGTTATGTGATAATGAAGTTGAATTAAGTTCTTTTTATTTAAAAAATAGCTGGAGCTATAAACTCGAGGCGAAGTGGAGAGTTTTTGAACCCGATAATATGTGACCTTCTCCAGGAAAACGTACACTAAAGGTTTTCCATTTAACGGGTAAAAACTAACAGCTAACGAACGGCTTGTTAACGGCTTTTCTAACGCCTTTAACGGGTTGGGTAGCGGTTTGAACGGGTAGGCGAAAAATCTATTGACCTACAAAAGCGTTCGAACGGATTTGCTTTGATTTTCCTAACGACTTTTTTGAACGTTTCTAACGGGTGCATTAACGGCTTCAAGAAACAATCATCTAACGGTCTAAGAGAACGTTTGATAAAAATCAAACGTTTCGAATGATAACAGCTCAAAGAAAAGAGTTTCAACGACTATAAAACATTATGCGCGATGAAATCAGTTGTACCTGTCTGACATTTCAAATCATTTGAGTCGTCAATAAAACTCGGGAGACAGACAACACAAAATTCAGTTAAAAACCCAATCTTTAAAATTCGTTTATTACTCACCAACCTTCGTCCAAGTCATGGACCAAAAGTCACAATGTTACTTCCGTTTCTCGGGTTATTATTTTACTACATGTAGTACGCAATCATTCACGTGCACGAGTTCGAAGTTTTCGCTCCAGTCTCATGCTGTGGCTGTTTTGAAAATAAGCAAGAGCTTTTCTAGAAAGTAAATTATAAAAATTGATACATTTCCCCTGTTCTTGATCATATCTTGACTAAAAAAGCGAATTTTTACTTCTACCTGGTTGATTGCTGCGTTTTAGTTTGATCGATCCTGACGATGTCGCCTTTCAAGTGCAGCATCGTCATAACAACCACTTGCTCAGTCCGAGTCCTTTGACAAACTGTCCTGTTACGAATAGTAAGTTTGCGTGCTTTCGCTTGCTTTGGCTAAGAATAACATTCGGTCATCCAAATCCTATTCTTCTATTTATTTATTTTTTTTCATAAAAAGACAATAGACGCGGTAACCAGAATTATCGGCTTTTATCCTATAACTTGAAGATTCGTACGCTCAACTGCAATTTATTCGACATGATAGTTATCTTTGCGAAAATGAGTAAACTGAGATCATGTGAAGTCCAACAGAAGGAATGGTTTACTGGCGCTTCCAGGTAAATAATCAGAAACCTATTCATTTACATGTTGCTATTAATAGTTTGTTACGTACGTATGTAAACGCTCGCGTGTTTAAGTGTTCGAATGTAGCCTGAACGACCAACACATGAAAGTGTGAGAAAACGTATGTGTTGCAGGTTTTAACCGAGTATAGATTGGGCGATAATCTAACGAATGTAGAGCAATAACCGAACGATTATAATTTCAAAGGACATAAAACAGAATAGTCAAAAGAACTTCACTCATTAAACGTCCCAGAATGCAAATCTAACGACTTTGCCGAACGATTTGAACGTCCTGGAAAAAAATTTCGAACGACTTTTTCTAACGCTTTGAATGTCCTTGACTAACGCCTTTAACGGTTTCTCTAATGCTTCTAACGGCAAGGCAAATTGTTCTAACGGTTTTACTAAGGGCTTGAACGCTTTCCCAAGCCATTTTAACGCTTAGTTAACGGGTTCTTAACGCTTTAAGCCGTTAAACAGTAAACCGTTAGTGTACGTTTTCCTGGAGGTCACATATGCGACTGCGAGTTTTTTAAACTCCTTCAAAATTTCTGCCTTAATACTTAGATTTGGGTTCATTTTGGTGTAAACAATTGTACATATGATTAAGTCATGCCTTTATCACATTGAAAGAATCCCATTAATGAACAAATTTTTAATTTGTTACTTTATTAATTATTACTGATTGTTTAATTTCGTATTTTTCTTCCTCACCATGACCTTATCTGATTTGTTTTTGATCTTCAATGAGGACATTTTCTCAAATGTTTTTGAAACACAGTTCTCCATGACATTATCATGTTACGAGCTTCATTTAAGACATTTTTCAAACATTGCGTAGGTTCATTGTTATACATTTTGATCAACCTCGAGTTTCCCTTGCTGCAGCAGCAACAGTTCGTATCTTTGACTCGAGCTGCAAAGTCATCATGACAGAGCTACATTAAAATTTTTTAATGATTACGGACTTGCCATTCTATTGTAGGTAATGAGTTGGGACAGGTATAAATCATATTAGGGCAAATATGAGTATCAGCCTATCAGAACACTTGAAATGATTCAAGGGATCGCTTTGTTTTTTTCCTCATTTTTCAACTGGTCAGCCCTCTCTCCATACATGTTCTTAAGGGGTATCCTTTAATGAACTTCTTAAAGAGGCGCAGTTTGTTTGCGATCCTATCTCAGATTTATGTTGATGTCATATATCCATCCAGTTCACTATAAAAAAGGTCTTATTACCTTGGCTGTCTTGAAAAGCCTTGTCAAGGGCCTAGATCACATTGTCCAGGAGGTGGCGATGTCTGACATGGACACTGTGTAGCTGTGTATTGTCTGAATGGTTACATTTCTTGCCTGTGCAGCCATTTCCTTGAGATACCCAAGAATGTATAGCGCCAGCCATTGCCTTAGGGGCACCAATGAACTAAACTTCCTTTTCCACACTGAACATGACACTCAGACCACATAACCAGCCCCTAGGTGTGCCGTTTGCTTGTAAGAAAGCTCTCACCTGTCGCTAGCAAAAGAAATGTATATTTGTATATAATAACGAAGTACCAGAGTGATGTCCTGAAGCACTTCCCCGATCCAATCCTTGAAGACTGGAAAATGTCTCCTTCTTGCCGACCTTTTGCAGTACCTACAAAAGAGATCTTAAAGAAATTTTTTTAAAAATAAAATCGTTTCACTTTAGTTTCAAGTTGTATAATGTCTGATTGTTAATCTGGAGGTTTTTAATTGTGGGATGATTGGATGTGGCATTGCAGGTGACAACTAACCTTTAGGCCATATTTAAGGTTTCTGTTTAACACACGCAATCACGCTTTTCAATTGTACCTTCAAAGATTTTACAGGTGGCGTAGAAATTTTTTTTCATATTTTAGATTGTTAGCTCTTGCAGGTATAGGAATATAGAATTCCTTAGCTGTGACAACCCCATTATCAGTTAAATTTTGAAGTTGGGTGAGTTACTTTTAGTTTATTAGGCCTGACCTTTCCCACTAAATACAGGAGGAAACCATAGTTCATCTTGCTCCTAAGATTAAGATGGCCTTCGTTCAGTAATATAGTCGACTTCCTTGAATACATGGTCATCCTTTATGTTTTCAAACTCTGCAGAGCTCGAGAATTTTCCCAACGCTTTTCCTGGCTTTTCTCTTTGCTTCAAACTCCAACTCTTGTTGAGCTAGCCTTCCTGGAAGGCTGCTCTTCCTTGTTCCGTTTACAAAGGGTATAATCAAAATCCTTCAAAATGTCTTAAATACAGTCTGACAATTAATGATCTGCTCAAATTTGGAAGATTAATAGCCTGTTGTATTTATATAGAAACTATTAACACAACTATTATTACAGCAGGTTTTGTACGTTTGGTGTGGTCACTGAAGTCGTTCTGTGAACTATTCTATCCCCAATCTCTCCCCAACCTTCAAACAGAATATCAGTGTACAGACCTGCTCGAAAATTTATTGAGGTCCATGTACAGTGCTTTTTATGAACCTAACAGTTGACTCATATGGAAAGCAGGATAAACGCAAAGTGGCCCAAATCTTCCACGCAGTTGGGTATTTGCCAAAGCATGTGGATCTTCATTGCCATTGTTTCTTCGCCTACAAAGAAATTAAGAGAGGTGAAAGGAGGAAGGAGGGATGGATGGATGGATAAATGAATATGTGCATGAATGAACGGATGGATGGATGACTGAGTGAAAAGACAGATTGGAGAAAAAATAAATACCAACTAAAGATGAACAGAAAGTGCTTTTGACTTTCGTTTAAAATCAGCGGAATAGAAAGGTCAGATAAAGCTATAGACCTTGTAATATCTTGTTACCATAATATGCTTATTTGCTGTGCCTGTCCTGAATAATTTTCTGAAGCACTCTGAGAACACAACTAAAAAGGTGGAAAAGAATAAAATTTTTCTCAGCCCATGAAATGGTGAGTGCGTCAATACATGAGGCCTCTGGGTCAGGCCGGAATGAACGATATATAGGAAATTGTCTATTTAATCTTGATGCAAACAGATCGATTTCTGGTTTGACGTCAAAAGTAGCAAGGGCGTTTCTCAATAGTGTGGGATTTATCAGTCATTCGGTATCCTGAGAATGGAAGTGCCTACAATGTAGATTCTCTGTCAGCTCTAACATGAAGAGAGCCATGGATGTGGGCAGCAGTAAGCCATGTTATGTCATGCGCAATGCTAAACTCCCAAATTTGTACTGCAAGTGAATGACATTCAGGACTATGGCATGTTCCCATGTTGTTTATGGCAGCAACCGCAGTAGTATTGTCAATCATTAGCTTAGCATGTTGTTAGGTTTACTGATGTCGTCATGTTATAACTAGAACATACGCATCACACAAGTAGGAGTAACAACTGATTTTTATTTGCTATTTCACTCACATTTATACAAACATTCATAAGCGGCTCTAATTACAGATTACATACTTGGCATAATATCAAGCATATAATGTTGTGGCATTTCCTGTCGCGGTTTTCTACTAATGGATATGTTCAACTATGATAAGCTTTGTGGTAAGCATGTGGTTATATTGGTCAGGATGTTGGAACACGGAATCTAACACCCCCACTTGCTCCAATCATCTTTGACGAACTTAATATATGTATATATATATATATACAAAACTAATTTCCCATGATAAAAGACTTAAACTTTTCTAGTTTAACTTTGGTTGCTGGCTTTGTAAAAATGTCAGCTACATTATCTTCTGTAGGCACATATTCTAACTTTACATTTCCTGCTTGTATTTCCGATCTTATAAAGTGATATTTTATGTCAATGTGCTTTGACCTCTGATGATTAACTGGGTTTTTAGCTAGGTTAATCGCCCCTGATTATCTCGTGGATTACAACATCATCTATCACAATGTTCATATCTTTACAGATTTGTCTCAAGAACTTTGATTCTTGTACAGCACTAGCTAGCGAAATGTATTCCGCTTCACAAGTAGATAAAGCTACAGTGGGTTGTTTACGACTCTTCCATGAAATTAAAGGACCTCTCTCTAATAGCTGAAAATTATACCCAGTAATACTGCGTCTGTCTTTTACAGATGCTCCCGGTCAGAGTCACAAAATCCTATTAATTTTAATGGTGACTCTGATTTTTCAAACTTAAGACATTGTTCCCTTGTGCCTTTTAGATACCTAAGAACATGCTTGGCCAAAATGAGATCTGACTCTGAGGGCTTGGCCATGTTCTGTGAAAGTTTAGTCACGACGTAGCACAAATCCGGTCTCGTGCCTGTCATTACATAGATTAAGCTCCCAACAATGGCTCGATACAATCTGGGGTCACTTAATTCTTTTGGCTTTACATCACATTCTTTTTCTATCCCAAGAGCACATGGCGTTGGTTTTGGCTTACAATCGCTCATTTGAAATTTGGATAGAACTTTGTCAATGTATTGGCTTTGGCTCATTTCAATAGATGTTTTGCTGCACTTGAATTGGGTTCCCAAGAACCATGAAAGTTCACCCAGATCTTTCATTTTGAATTTCTGGCAGAGAGACTCTTTTACGCTCTCGAGCAATTTGGCATAAGTCGCCCGATATAATGATATCGTCGACCCAAATAATCAGAATAACGCATCCTTCGGTCTCTGAATTTCTCACGCACACACACATGGGTCAGCACGTGACTGAGAAAAATTTTCGTTGCACAAGAAGCTATGCAACATATTGTTCCAGTTTCTCCCACTTTGTTTGAGACCATAAAGTGATTTCTTCAATTTACACACTAATTTTTCGCCATTTGTGCCTCCCTTTTAAAAGCCTTTTGGCTGCTCCATGTAAATATCGCAATCTATTGGCGCATTAAGGTAGGCGGTTTTTACATCCATTTGATGAGTGATCATGTTATTTTGGACTGCACGTTGCATCAACATCCGAACTGAACTCATGCGGGCCGAGGCGCAAATGTTTCCTGATAGTCTATTTCTGCAACTTGGGAATAGCCCTTAGCGGCGTAACGCGCTTTTATGAGTTTCTTCCCCATTTGGTCCGTTTTTACGGCATAGACCCATTTTCCCCCACTATTTTCCTACCCTCCGGTGGTGTTACTAGGTCGCACGTGTCATTGTCGTTCAAAGCTGTCATTTCGTCGTCCATGGCCTTTTGCCACTTATTCGCCTCAGGCGAGTCGACAGCCTCGTCATACGTTGTCGGTATGTTTACGACCCTGTAACAGTAGTCTACTGTGTAATAAACATTGTCTTTCATATCGTCCTCTAAAGCATACTCTTCGAGGTGTTTGGGTTTGTTATGGGTTCTAGTTGGGTACCTCCCGTTCGTCACAGGCTCATTGTCGTTAGTCGCAGTAACGTTCCCCTCCTCGTTTGGTTGGTCAGCCTGTTCTGTGTTCTGTTCAGTGTTATCCTCGACCCTTTGTTCTAGGACAGGTACAAATGCTTCCCCTTCTTCAATCTCTGTATAGGAAATACTCTGCCCGTGAAACTTCACACATCTTACCCTTTCGACCTTGTTCGCGTTAGGGTAATAAACTAGATACGCTGGGCTTTCCCTGTCATAACCCACGAAGATACCCCTTTTGCTTCGCGCATCTAATTTCTTCGCGTTTTGCACATAAGCATAACATGTGGATCCGAAAACGTGCATATTGCCTAGGTTTGGTCGCTTTCCGGTTAGCGCCTCGAATGGTGTCATTCCCAACCTTGAGTTAAAACATCGATTCCGGATATATGCAGATGCCATCACTGCGTAGGTCCAAAGTGTTTTGGGTAAATTTGCCTCGAGCAATAAGCAGCGCGCCATGTCAAATAGACTTCTCCATCCTCTCTCCACCGTCCCATTTTGGTGCGGGGAATACGGCGCGCTCATTTCGTGTTTTATCTTATTTTCGCGCAACAAACATCGAAAATGTTTGCTTGTGAATTCCGTTCCGTTGTCGCTCCGAATGCGATTTTGATTTTACCGAAAAGGAGTGGTGTCGGCCAAAAACTTTTGCGTCGCTTCTACGGTGTCGCTTTTCTGTTTGAGAAAATACACCTTGTTGATTCCTGTGTAATCATCTATAAAAGATAACGCATACTTGAAGCCGTCTTTTGCTGCGGGACTGATTGGGCCAGCTAAATCGCAATGAACGAATTCTAAAGGCTCTTTTGCTTTCTCGTCCGGTTTTCGATTCCGAAATTGGCACATTTTGCCTTGCGTGCAGATAGTGCACTCGCACTGTCGATCATCGACAATTTTCATTCCCTCAACTACGTTTTGAAGTTTTCGAAGATCGTTAAAATTGCAGTGTCCCATGATTTTGTGCCACTCCATTAGTGTGGTGGCGTTATTTTGGGTTGAAATGTTGTTCAGATAAAATAAACGCCCTTGTTGTTTGATACTAAACATTGTACCATTTGGTGCTCTCAAATTTTTGGCATCCTTATCTAAAGTTATGCTGGCCCCCCTATCTATGGCTGCGGGAACAGAAAAAATATTTTGGGTATAGGACGGGATATAAAGGGCGTTGTTTAACACCACATCCTGTACATTACCGTTTACATCATAAAGCTTAACTTGGGCGTTTCCCCTTCCTAAAACCACATTAGCCCTACTTCCATCGGCTAACTCAATAAAATGTGTACTAGGGTCGAATTTCTTATCAAAATCTACGAACTTAGACTTGTCATTGATAATATGGCTTGTAGCGCCGGTATCTAAAAGTAATTGATTTGGAGTAGGCTCACCTCTACCTTCCTGATCCTTAACAGTAAATAGAAAACTATGACTATTGTTGTCTCTTTTAAGTTTTTGTTCTTGTCCTATTGCGGACTTTGCTGCGTCAGGGTTCCCTTTGCGGCAATCTTTGGTGTTGTGGGAATTGTTCTTGCAACGCTGGCACCACTTGTCGGCGACTTTGTTCGAGTAGCAGTCCACGCTTCTGTGTCCCTTTCGTCCACATTTGAAGCACTTTCCTTGGAACTTTGGCTTGCTTGAACCATTCGCGGCCGACATTACGCCATCTCCGTTTCCATCATCGTCTTTATGGCAACATTTCTCGTTCTCCTCATGGTTTCGGAGCGAGACCTTAAATTCTGCAAATGTCATGGGAGTGTCCTTCTGCATGACAATCGTGCCGAAAGTCTTGTAACTTTTAGGCAGGCCTTTTAGGGTCATCGCGACCAACAGACCGTCGCTGATTACTTCGCCAGCAGCTTTAAGCGAAGTTGCTGCGGTCTCCGCCCTGATGATGTAGTCTGTGGTCGTTTCTGTTTCACCCATTTGAAGTGAAGTCAACTCTGTGTAGAGGGCAATGATGCGGGGTTTTCCTTTGCCTTGGTAGTGCTCCCTTAAGACTCTGAGCGCTTTCCTCCCGTCATTTTTGGCCTCTCTGATAACCAGGGACAAGCTTCTGTCATCCAAACACTGGACCATTTCTGCAAACGCACTAGCTTTCTTTTCCTCGCTGGGTTCTTCCTTTTCATCTGCAGCTGGTATAACTACATCGTGGAGTTTCTGAAGGCGCATGTATCCTAGGAACTTTACTTCCCATAGCTCGTACCTGCTTTCGTCCCCGTCAAATATGAGCGTTCTCCTGGGCCCATAACCTGTTAGGTTTACTGATGTCGTCATGTTATAACTAGAACATACGCATCACACAAGTAGGAGTAACAACTGATTTTTATTTGCTATTTCACTCACATTTATACAAACATTCATAAGCGGCTCTAATTACAGATTACATACTTGGCATAATATCAAGCATATAATGTTGTGGCATTTCCTGTCGCGGTTTTCTACTAATGGATATGTTCAACTATGATAAGCTTTGTGGTAAGCATGTGGTTATATTGGTCAGGATGTTGGAACACGGAATCTAACACATGTTTTCCAGAAAGCGGGACATGGAAACACCTAAGAACAAATGGGACTGCCAAAATCGAGATACCATTCATTACCACCCTCCCCATGCTGCAAGGGAGGAATAAGAATACAGTGTTACATCAACTTGGGGATGGCGAATGGGATTAAAGCTCCCATATAAGTTGCATAACCACCATTGCATTTCAGAGACACCTTTCTCTGAGGTAGCCATGTGTGCATCAAAATTTCCCTGGGAACATTAGAGAGCGTTAATGCTATCCATTTCCAAGTACCTTTGTTCGAGTGTGCCATATTTGACAGCTGGTAGACTCACACTAAGTGGCCAATAAGTCTAGCAATGTCCCGAATCCTAAGGGAATGGGCATTGTCCATAGGAAAGATTAGCAAGTCTTTTAACTTGTGTATCTTATCTTCAGTGAGCATGACAATCATTCTTACAGAATCAATAATGAATCCCCAAAAAATCATTTTCTCCAGTGGAATAAACACCGATTCTTCAGGGTGGATTACATTTGAAAATGGAATCACGGACATTGATCGCACATCTCTGATATGAACGTCCTTGAAGACATAAATCATCAGTGTATCCACACACAATGTAGTTCATCAGTCTCAGATGTGAAAGGGGTGGATTCAACATTAAAGTGAATTTTCGAGGACAAATGGAAAGACAATTAGGAAAAACTGTGTATTTAAAGAATCTTCCATTGTACATAAACTTTACGTACTTCTGAAAATAGGGGTGTATATGGACACTATAATAAGCATCCTTCAAGTCCAAGGATGCCATCCTACAGTTTGGAGTTGCCAGACCCAAGACGGTACGTATCTTGTCCAGTTTGAAATGGGAATTCTTTATAAATGAATTCAATTTCTTTAAGTTAAAGATAAGTCTCACAGTGCCATACAGGTAAAAATGGGTGAAGTGAATTCACCAGGTTCATGGGTACAGGGGACAATAATCCTTTATCCTGGAGGGCAAATATTTCCTCATCAACTAGACTCATGTGGTCTCCTGATATGAGTTTTGTGGGTATGCCACCTGGTCAAACGGTTGGGAGACGAACAAAATACATTCACCTGAAATAGTGTGGAGAATAGTAGCATTGGTTGTTACAGTCGCTCATTCGTGTATATCCTGGAGTGGTCAATTGACAAAAATCAGTATCGATTTGTCAATTGATAAATTGATAAAAGTCAGTAAATGATTTGATTGATATTGATTGTATCGATCAATTGGTAGAAATTGATGACACACTTTTTTCATTTATCGATTTATCTTGATTTTGACTAATTTCATTGATTCACATCGGAAGAAACATCTGTTCATCAAAAAATTAAAACTGAATTCATGCAAAAAGTAAATTTATTGACAATTGAGTGGCAATTGAAGGTCTTGCAGAGGGTCAAACATTTATCACTGTATCATTTATCAAACGTTATTGCGTATAAAGAAATTTTAAAAAAATCTTATCTTTTCTTTAAAACCAGGTTTAAAAGCTTCTTCTGATGGCTGATATTGGCCAGGTCTGTAGGTGCCTATTTTTTCAGGATTTAGATCTACCACTCTTCCAAAATAATGTGGGTGTAGATATGGGTGCAGTTGCATCCCGGAGGAACCGGAGTAGTCCATAGATAAAAAGCGAAATCGTTGAAAATCGTTAGCAATCAAGTGATTTCTATCGATTGATATCAGAAAACAGTGAAAATCTATCAGGAAAATCTTTTTGCCTGAATCCCGACTTGAAGGAATGCCTGAAATTTAGGCTAGGAAATCTTAATCTGAGGATGTATATCTCGTGATACTTGCCTTCAAGAACTGAATGTAATTGAACCGAACTGTTTTTGTTATTATGTCCAAAAGAAAGGGTGTTGGAGAGAAGTTGTGTGTCATTTTCATGTTTGCAGATCAGTTGTTCTTGTGGGTGTGTTTTCTTAGCTGCACTATCTAAACATCAATGGCGGACTTCCGTTATAAATCGTCAAAACCATAAAAATTGATAATATTGATTTGACACAGCAATTCAGTTTATCAATTTTCACCAATTTCCGTTATCGATAAAAATCACTTGATTACTACCTATTTTTATCGATACTGATTTTTATCGATTGACTACTCCGGGTGTATATGCAGGGATAACTGCCCCCCTTTGAAACTGTTGACCTTAGCACGCAAATAGGGAGTAAGAGAGCAATCTATGTGCTGTGGGAACTCTTTTACCTTCGTTTTGATGACATTAAATTCTTTGTGAAATTCTTCTTGGCATGGAAACGACACGGTTGTTGATTTTTTCTGGGGGGTTAAGGATTACCCCCCTTGATCCCTAAAAAGGGCTTACTACTATGGTGACCTTGAGACTGGCTTCCTCTGAACTGGCCACTGTTGTGGTTCTTTTGTGAAACACTTCCTTTGTTGTTACTAGGTGTAACTTTACTCAATCTATTTGTTGTCTTTAATTCTTGTAGAGTTTTGGGTAAGTCCTCACGCACAAAAGCTTCCCCGGTTTGAGGGTTCTGGAGCAGGCCTGTTTACACTCCTGGTTTAAATAAGCGTAAATAGCATCCCTTCATGTCAAGGAGAGTTCATTGTTTACATGCCCAAGTAAAGCAACAGAGTCGGTCAGCCTGGGTATGATGCTTCTATAATTGGGAGAGGTCTTCTTCTCCCAATGACTCAGCAGGGCCTCGACGGTTACCACAATGGCACTGGACACTTTGATTAACATGTCCTGTAACACAGACATTCTGATATCTGCTAAGATTCCCCCGAATTTCTGGGTTTACTTTGGGTGCAAAGAGCTGTGTACAATTACTAGGTGTCTTATACATTTGAAGTATTTCTTTTCGTTCGTCACCACTGTATTGAGTTTGAAACTTAGCATTAACAAGTTTTGACAATTTGTCAGATACTGAGAGGCCACTTTCATTAGACGAACTCAGGAAAGTGGTGATTTGAGTGAGTAACCCATCATTATTTAACTCATCTTCTGGTTCTAGTGGCTCGTTGACAAGACCGTAGTCGCCACATAAACTGAGTGCATCATCATCTTGGAGCTTGGGGTGTGCTTCATCTCAAGTGCTATCATGTACTTCCTTTGAAGTAATTGTTTTTGCTTTCTCTGAGGTGATCGCAATGGTGCGACCTGACTCATCTGAGTCATGATTCTTTCTTTTAGCGGGCGAGTCGGTTGTCTGGCTCGATGTAGACTTACACTTGCTGAACCAGCTCGTGAAGTAATGAATTTGAGTAGGTGACACTTGCCTGAAAAGCACTAAGTATTGAAAGCATGGTTGGTGAGGTCTTTTGACCAGGGGTCATCCTTATCATGAACAGCAGGAGTTGCCTGCTCTGTCTGTTTGGTGCTTTGGCTTTCAGTGGCAGACCAGCTTTCATTCATGCTGAAAAAAGAGCAGGAAAAACGTAAAACGGAAAAAACTGTAACGAAGGACGATAATTCACACTTAGCTGTATGTAGGTTTTGTCGAGAAGAATAGCCAAGAGACCCAAGAAGTACGGCCATGAAGTTTTGTCTTATATGTTGACAAAACAAGAAAAAAGTACTCCACGACCTTGCCTAATGGCAAAATAGAACCACGTGAGCCTGAGTGACATTGCCATGCTGTTGACATTGGCCATCTTTAGTCCACTTTTGTCGTACTCATTATTATGGAGACTAGAGTCTCTTTATCAGGTCCTTTCCACAAGAAATGAAATAGTATTTGGTTTAATTCTTTCACGAATTCTTTAGGGATAGGCAACCAAGGAGAGATATAGACAAAGTTGGTTATTAATACGGATTTTATAATAGTTACTTTTCCGTAAATAAAAAGTCCTTTAGAGGACCAAATCATGATCAGTTTATTAATACTGTCTAGTCTCTCTGTGAAGTTTTTCTCATGAAGCAACCGTTGATTGTAAGTATAAACACACCTAAGGCTTTGATGGGTTCACTAGGTAACTTAAGCCCAAAGGTTTTTGATTCGTTTTTTCTTGATGATCCAATCCACATTGCTTCTGTCTTAGTGCAGTTGATTTTTAGACCAGAAATATGCAACAAATACTTCAACAGACTAAGGAATTCTGAGGCAGAGTACTCATGAGCTAATACAGCTGTGGTATTGTTTGCGTATTGTAGTAGTTTAGTTTCTTTGTTGCCAATGGAAATTCCTCTTACATTTGAGTTTTGTCTTATTGAAACTGCCAATACCTCTGCAGCGGGAACTAACAGACATGGGGAGAGCAGGTCACCCTGTCTTACACCTCTCTCAAGACGAAAATTATCAGACAAAAGATCATTGTTGATTACACAGCTTTAGATATTGTTATAAACACTTTAACCCAATGAATAAAATCTCAACCAAAGTTGAAAGCCTCTAAGCAGGTGACAAGAAAATCCCATTCAAGGCTGTCGAAAACTGTCTGAAAATCAAGTAAAATCCATAACGTCGAATATTGGTCTCACCGTTTCACCAATATAATACAATAATACAATCTTCCACATAACCACTTTGGTTATGTTGAATAATATGTGGAAGGACTTTTTTGATTCTCATCACAGTTACTTTGGACATAATTTTCGAGTCAACGTTCACAAAAGAAATTGGGCGCCACTTTTCCAATAAGGAGCGATCTTTACCTTTCTTTTCAGTTAGTAATTATTGCTTACTTTTTTGGAACATCACATTTCTCTTGTAACAAAAGTTTCATTTACACATTTCAGAAAGCTGTCACTTATTATTGGGCAAGATCACATCGTGCTGCCTTGTTGCATAAGTCAGTCATGTACGAATCAATTGACTCCCCCAGCAAGTAAATTCCGTAAAAAAATGTTTTTTTGTCTTTCAAAAGTTCTTCCTCAGATAACAATACCTCTTGAACTTTTTGTGATTTTATCCACTTTATTCTCATCACCTTCACTGTACCACTGAAACGTGTTAAAAATGTCCCTCAAACCTTTTCATCTTTTTTTTTTTCATCAGCACTAGTGTCTCTGTTATCAACTTCTAAAACATCATGTTGGGAAGACATGGAATACTAGAAGTTCTCCATTCAGATAATGGCCCTGAATTTAGCATTGTGGAATTCAACAGTTTGCCAAGCAGTAACAATTTCAGCAAGTTACTTCATGACCACAATTTCTTCAGAGAATTGCTTTGTGGAACATGCGGTACAGACCGCCAAGAAGCTCTTCAAGAAGGCATTTGAGGAAAGCAAAGATCCCTATTTAGCAATTCTGGAGTTATGAAATACTCCAGGTCCTGGAGTTGGGCTTTCACCAAGGCAATTGCTCATGGGGTGTTGCTACACAAGAAGCCTCATTCTTATCGATAAAAATATTACAGTGAACCCTCAGTGACACTCCACAAAATGTTTGTCATAGTAACACCAGTTGTGACCCCTAGCAGCAAGATCTTGAATGGTGGTCCCTTATTTCATAAGGCCTGTGTTTCACTGTTGTAACGGCTCGTATACACCCCCACAAACACATGGAAAGCCTGTACCCAAGTGTCTATGGACACGATTTTCTTTGGGGGATTTACCGGCTCAATAGCCAATGAGGGGGAAGAGCCTTCGCCAGAGTTATCAATAGAAAGCTGATATCAACCCTCTCTAGCAGGGTTAGTTAGTATGGACCCAAAATCAATGTAGGTCTCCTCCCAAATTTTTGTCTTTAGTTTAGCCAGGACCCAGGCATCTATGGGTGAACTAGTGGAGGTGAAGACTTGCTTAGGTTGAGCCTCCTGAGACAAGAATGGAGTCTCACCTGTGAGAGATGAGTGCAGGGAGTTCACCACCTGATGGACAGGGTCTATAGCGAACTTTCCAGCCCCACTTGAATTGGTTCCTTTTGACAGTGATGACAGCCACTTTCCCCTGGAAAAGAGTAGTTTCCTCATGCTTTGAGTTCTGATAAATAAAAAAGTTGCGTTCATAAATCCGCACGTTTTCAATTTCCTATTTTTGTTTTTCCAAAGTGAAACCTTTTATAACGTTTAATTCTGAACTTTAAACCTTAATTTCTTGAAACACCTCCTCCAAAGCAGATTTGAGATATTTGCAATCTCGTGTAGTTACTTTGCATGTCAGCCGTCAAGTTGTTTCTGGGATGTTTTATTTACCTCCATCACTCTCAAAAGGCAGAACATTTCCAGAGACTTTACAAGAGATTCTTCCACACTTAGTACTGTTGCAATAGCTGCAACAGTTATGCACGGGATTTAATAGCTTAATCTCTGGGTCTAATCACTGATATGCTGCCACTGTCAGACATTCCTTACAATTAACAAAGTTCTTCACCTCTTGTTCACTGGACGTATCAGCTGTCCATGATAGATAACGATTAAATGGGACTGTAGGCTATCCCTGCCTGCTCTTCCAGCTTCCTGATATAGGTCTAGAATGCTACGTGCTGCTCCCCGTATGATTATGTAACAGACATCAGGAATATTGACACCCATACACAATGCAGCTGTAGAGACAACAATTGGCGTAACACCAATTCCTTTAAAGAGACAGAGACATGGTTCTTGCATTTTCGCCATGGGTTTGAGTGATAAATGCTAATGAGGCAGTTTCTGGTAGTAAGCATCAATGCCTAACTGAGGGAGCATCTCCAAATTTCAGAAGGTTGAACGTCCGATTGTTCGGATGTCGTATCGGAAACTTTAGTACACATTTCCGATCAAATCGGTAGATCATCAGTGGTTATAGGATTCGCAGTATTGGAATTCCGAAAGGTCAACATCTGACAGGTACACATCAGTACATCAACTGAAATTAGATCATCTCCGTAAAAAATAAGTTCGTAAAGATCAAGCTCAAGTTTGGTTTATTACGTGAGATCTACCTGCAGTTCATGCAAAAAATACGAAGTTGTAAATGTCATAATTCACTGAATATTCTATGTTTATGAGCTCTACAACTGCAGGAGGTGAATAAAATAGCCAAAAATATGATCGGTGTAAATTTTCGTGCGGACACAATGTTACAGTTGAAGAGATTGAACAAAAAATTTGTTACGATTAACAAGGACACGTACCTCCAATGAAATGGGGAAAATGAGTTGCATCTCTAATGTTGTTGGAAAATCAGGTACGTTGCTGGGGACAACTTTGCAGATGAAAGTTCGCACAAAACCAAAATATGCATTGAAGCCGATATGGAACTGTTTATTACGTGAAACCAGAGCACTTAATTATTCAGCATTTTGTAGAGGAAAAGTATTCTAAGTTTTGTTTTAAGTATAACAATTTCTTAGTTATATATTTTATTTTCAATTTCTTAATTTACATTTATATTTTTATTTCTTAACTCTTCTTGATGTGTAAAACGTTGAAGAGTAATTAAATAGATGTAGATGGGAAACATACCCCTGAGTTGTTTGCTGATCGCCAAATGTAAACAATGCCTTTTGTTTTACGCACGTCATGACCTCTGCTAGCAGGGAAGGAAAACAATGGCAAATAAAGAAAATGCAGTTTTAGAGCACGATATGAAAATGAGACATGTTCTCCACATGTTGTGTTTTTTTTCTTGCTTTCTTGAAGTCGAAGCCCGATCCTTTTCGTGACCAGACTATAATGGTCCGTGACCCCCATCAACAGATTCACATACATCACGTAACCTTATCTTCATGTTAGTTTGGTTAGTTGGTTAGTGATATCTGCATTGATTGATTGATTGATTGAATAATTTGCATGAAATGTTGTTTATGCCCCATTTTTCTTTACATTTCCCCCTTTTATCCTGGCTGTCCTAGTATTAATACAAACAGTAGTATCATTTGTTAGGTCGCCAAAAGATGCCTTTAAAAACAATTGAGCTTGGAGCTCTGCTTTTGGCATGACTATTCATGTGAATAAATCAGCCATCAAGAACAGTATTCTTGTGAAATGAGCAGCTTTCCAGAGAAATAAAGGTGATGTTAGTATGGGTCTTAGCCATTGGGGTGTTTCACCCTCTTTGTTTTAATAGTGTGCATTGAATGTAGAGTTGATGTTTATATCGTGTCTTTTAGATTACGGATCACTTGATGTTTCATGACTTTGCCGTCAAACAAACGCTCAAAGACAATTATCACCTGTTGTCAGAATTCCTGTTAGTACCTTTGCCACAGTATAGTTTTTAGTCACCAATCTTGATAGCGGGGCTCCCTCGCGCGAAGCGCACGTGGGACAGAGCCCCATACCCATAGAATATGGACAACCTCTTTTCTTTTAATTGTCACGTGACTGACCGAGCGTACGTACGTACGTACGTATGCGTCTACAGATTGCACGGGTAGGGTAGGGGAGACTATCAAAAGGAAGGGAGGGGTGTCTCAAGCGTGTCTTGGCCAATCCACATCTTTTACATTGGCTATTCACAATATGGTCAATTTACAGCTGTCAAAACAGGATAGCCACTAAACAGTATCACATTGCCGTATCGAGGGCTCATGTGTCAACTCATCAAGGTGACGTGATTTATTTGGAAGCTGTCCGGTGACCAGTTGTTTTACTAGATCGCGATTAATGTTCAATCTCATACTTTCTAGCTAGTTTGAGAGCACAGGAAAACTGATAATGCACACATCCATTGTTCATCAATGTTGTGATCAATTGACAGCACTCAAAACAGGGTATCCGCTAACCAGCATCACTTGACCGTATCGCGGGCTCAGGTGTTGACCCATCGAGGTTAAGTAATTTTTTGAAGTTATCTGCTGACAAGTTACTAGTTTTCAAATGATTGCAGACTCAGGTTTGATTTTTTTTTCATTCATATGGTTTATGTTTTGTCTTTGGGCCGCACAATTAAGCTTTTGATCTAAAACTGACCTCGGACCCGAAAATTCAGCCAGCTATTACGGGCAGGCAAGAGAGCTGCTTTTGACTTTGCTCACCATGGTCATGCGTTGGGCACGCTCTACGTCCATTTCTTTATGCTCTGATTGGTCAAAATTTGACAGGTGAGCTCATGCGCAAAATATATGCAGCATCTTGGATCTTGTTTACTTTGACAGCTGAAGGTAACAGAGTTTTGTGTCAACTTGTGATGTTTTTAACTGTCTTTTTCCACTGGATGCACAAAATGAAATTCAGCTGCTATCAGGAGTCTTCTGTTATTCATGGCTAGTTGGTTTTTGGTTTAGAAATTATTACATCACTTGTCAAAGTCGGGAATCCGATTTCGGATGGCATCGTTTTCGTTTTTTACCTTACTTGATGCGTAAAGGTTGAAAAGTCTGAAGCGATACTAGCCTTACTTGATACCTTCCAGGAGCTGCATCTCGAATGGTAAGTCTCTGTAATTATTGTGTTTGATGTTTGTTCTTTATATGTAATTTAATGAAGTCGAGCATAGGTTATGCGGCTATGTAGTTTATGCACGTTTGTAAGATTTGAGACAATTTGATGTGACCAAGAATCAGGTTTGATATAAGCTTACACAACTTTAATATATAGATTTAGCCAGGGCTAAAAGCGAAGCTCCCATTAATAAATTTACATTTTAAGTCAAACAATAAACTTGTAATCCACAAATCAGTTAACTTAAGGGCACATTCATGTGACTTTTGAGGGAAAGGATAAGTTATTTTAGAGTGAAACATCTTACATCGAGTTGATAGCCTAAATATATGTACACCCAAAAAATAGCAAACATCTTCTATCACATTCAAGAGCCATAATGGCTCTTGATCACAGTAGATTAGGCCTCGAAAACAAATTCTTGGAAAACAAATCAGGCCGCATTTTTTTGCGTTCGACAGGTTTACTTTACAAATTCTTGCCAACAAATCTGAGGGTGTGTAAACCAACCTTTTATACTTTTTATACATCACATCTGAGGTGAAACAGTACTTTTTATCATACAGACCTCAGACAGAATACGGCATTTCACAATTTTTCAATGTCCAGGACGATCAATCATGGGCTTTTAGTGAAAACGTTCAAAAAATTTCCAAAATCACCCATACGGCCAGCCGGTTCTCATTTTTAGTGCGAGCTGTCAGTGTGGTCGAGTGTTCGAATGAACTTTAATGGAAATACGCTTCAACATAATAACGAATTTATTATCATTACTTTTTGTTATTTAATGGTTCCAGTTATAACGATGTGTAATCTTAGCTTAATCTTATAAAGCGTTTGATACGCGCGACATTTCCAAGTACTCCTGCAAGCGATGTTCATGAACGATGAAAACAAACACCACGGACAAGCGATTAAAATTGCAAGAGAGACTACTAACAATCAATAAAAGAAATTTAATTCGGTAAAACATTTACAGAGACAACAATTTTCCTTCACGAAGACAAGTGGAGTAAAGTGTCTCTAAAAATCCTGAGTCTTTAAGCTTAAAGCTTAAGCTCAAGTTTATTTTGTTTTACTTTCAGTCAGCCTCCCGGTGTTTGTTTTTTTTTTTTCAAAGATGAACTCCTCGAAGCAAGAAAATCACTCAAAGTTTTCTTTCTACAGCCAAATTTATAACTAAATATTCTTCGGAACGTTTTTGTTTTCTATTTGCCGTGAAAAAAAATCTGAAGGCCTTTTAAAGTTCTGTAAGCTTATATCAAACCTGATACTAGATCAGATCATTGACTCAAATCTTAACAATCGTGCAAAAACTTGCCGCATAAACTGAGCTCGACTTCATTAAATTAGATATAATAAAAACAAACATCAAATACAATAATTACTCAGGCTTACCATTCGAGATTCAGTTCCTGAAAGATATCAAGGAAGGCCATAGTTGCTTGAGACTTTTAAACCCTCTTACGCATTGAGCAAGGTGAAAGACGAAAACGATGCCATCCGAAATCGGATTACCCAATTTTGATAAGCGACGCATTTCTCAACCAAAAATCCAATAAACAAACCAGCCGTGGATAACAAAAGACTCTTGATAGCAGCTGTATTTCATTTTGTACATCCAGTGGAAAAAGACAGTCAAAAACATCACAAGTTGACACAAAACTCTGTCAGCTTTAGCTGTCAAAGTAAATAACTTTCAAGATGCTGCATAAATTTTCCGCATGAACTAACCTGTCAAATTTTGACCAATCAGAGTACAAAAATTGGACGTAGAGCGTGACCAACGCGTGACCATGGTAAGAAAAGGTCTTCCCCGCCTTTATTTTTAAAAAGGTGGCTGAATTTTCGCATCCGAGGTCAGTTTGAAATCAAAATCTTGACAGTGCGGGGCCATAGTGACATAAACACAACATATTTCATATGAATCATTGGAAAAAATAGACTTGAGCCTGCGATCATTTGAAACTGGTAATTTGTCAGCGGATAACTTCAAAAAAGTACTAGACCTCGATGGGTCGACACTTGAGCCTGCGGTACGGTCAGGTGACACTGGTCAGCGGATATCCTGTTTTGACAGCTGTCAATTGATCACAACATTGATGTGCAATTAGTTTTCTATTGGGCTCCCAAACTAGCTAGATAGTGTGAGAGAAAACATTGGTTTC